ATATATGTATTCCAATTTCTTTACTGTCTGGATCATGATGATTGTAATAGAGAAAATAATTTATTGTCGATCGAATACGATTTATATCGACAAGTAATAAACCATAAAAAGAATATGTCGATTAATACATTCATCGACTTGACATTTGAGGTCGTTTCAAGATGAGTTATAATAGATACCCATACCCTTTTTATCAATTCGAGTTGTTAAACTAATTGATGAACTACTTATTTTAATATAAATCAAACGTGTTTCCATTTTTAGATTAGAATAAAATTAAGTGAGAACAATTTTCAGTACAGTATATTCCTTGATTGCATAATACAAAATATGGGATAAATGTTCGTAAATATGTTGATAAATAAAACTCAAAATAAGCAAGTAAAAAATTATATTCAAATTCGTAGAATAATCCATTGATATTAAATACTTTACCTAATATGTGATCAAATTTAATATATTTCATTAAAAAGTATTGAACATTATTTAATAAAGGATACCGATGCAGTTTGAGTGTATGTATAGGCATCCATGAAACTAGCAACGAAATTCACATCCACAACCTTATCTTTTTTTTCTTTATGCGGTTACTTGATTTCATTCTTCCTCCAAATATCTATATGATAAATAAATGCTGTTACAACAATCAAACTAAGAAAAATCATGATTAGATGGCTTCATTTTGATTATAAAACTTTTGAAAGCTTCCATTGCTGATATATGTACAAACTTTGCTGGTGTTTCATGAATTGTCCAAAATTTAATAACAACAAGTTTTGAAGGAGAAAATTCAAAATTCAACTTCGATATACCTATTGTTCGAAAGAACGTCTAAAATTGCTGTCAATAGTAAACGTCCAAATGCAAAAAGTCATGAACGACTGAATGAGATATGACAAAAGAATATATTCATACTTAAAAATGTTCGATGAAAAAAAGTGTTTCTCTGGCTAACAAACAATGGTAAGAGAAAGAGAAACATCACATGTTGTTTGTCTCAGAATTAAATATCATTGACGATGTCATATTGGACCAGTCCGAGCATTGTCGAGACGATATATATTAATAACGGTATCAATTGATTATGGTGTTACTTATCTCTTTCCATTCGAATTATTTGTGTGAGTTAATCGACGATCTACCGAAAAACTTGCTTTCGCTCTTGAAACTTTAGGTAAAGACACAATCCTGCAGATCGATCACTTAGTATATATGCCTTCAAACACTTTAAATATGTATATTCGAAACTTTTCTGAATACGTTTTGAATATAATGTGTACATTCTTGACACAATGACTCGTGATTACATCTATGAGACTTAGTAGGAGAGATACTGTACGAAACAGTTTTTATCTGATATAGCGAAATATTTATTTGATTTTAGTCCTGCATAATTTATGAATGAATGATGCATTCAAAATGAATTGATTTTTTGTTAGAAAACAAGCATCTAGGATAGTCGCACATATTCTTATCAAGATATTTCTATCAACACTTCACTTTGATAATAGTAATGTTTAGTAGAAAAGAATTACACTTAAAAATTCAATCTAATTCATTGAGTTCTATTCCAAGTTCTTCCGAAAGACGTTCAATATTCCTTTCCATACTTCGTAGTTTATAATGCGAGGAAGTCAAGCATTTTCTGTAAATAGCTAATGCTTGCTGATAGTAATTAAGTGCCAACGTAGATTTATGAAGACTTTCGTAAATCTGACCTATGGTTGATAAACTATTGCCGATATCCACATGATCTGGTGGAAGCACTTTGAGACGCATCAGGACACAATTCTGTTCATACAAGAGAGAGTGATCATGTTGGTTTCTGCTTCTTTGTACTTGTGACAACCATTTAATTACGTTAGTGATGGAGAGATCTTTTGAAGGTGAACTGGCTTCAACAACCAATAACCATCTATCCAAATATTTAATAGCAAGATCGAACTGGGACTCTCTATCGAGATTAGCAACGATCCAAGATAGGCAAGTAGCAATTTCACGATGATTATTGGGGTAGTGTTCTTCCAATATGATTAATGCTTGTTGATAATAATCCAGAGATTCATCATATTTTGTTTGCTGAAACAGAGTATTACCTATGTTCTTGAGATTAGTAGCAATGCTGAATTGTTCACTGGGTGGGCTGCTTTTGAGAATTGCTAATGCTTGTTGCTGAAAGTCGAGTGCCTCCTCATATTTTCGTTGATCTTTGAAATTTTCAGCTATATTATTCAAACAGGTAGTAATCTCCGAATGATTCGATGAATCCTTCTTGTAAAACGTTAGCGCTCGACCATAAAAGTCAAGAGCTTCATCATATTTTTCTTGATCACTCAACAGATTACCAATATAAATCAAACATTGAGCAAGGTTTCTATGACCTGATGGATAACATTGCTCGTAAATTATCATCGCTCGTTGACAGAAATCGAGGGCTTCATCATACTTTCCTTCTATATACAGGATGATACCGATGCATCTTAGATTTTCAGCAACATCAATATGACCTGATGGATAGCACTTTTCAAGGATTGTTAGAGCTCGTTGATAGTAATCGACAGCTATATTGTATTTTTTTTGATCAATGTAAATGTGACCGATGCGATTCAGACTGTTTGCAATTTTTTCATGAAAAGACGAATACTTCTCCTCTCGAATTCTTAATGCTCTCTGTTGAAATTCGACAGCTTCTTCGTAGTTTCCTTGATTACTTAGGACATTAGCGATGTCTATCAGGGTACTTGTAATGCTATCATGATTGGCTCCATCGAATTTCTCTCGGATTGTTAATGCTCGTTGATAGTAGTTGAGAGCTTCGCCGTACTGTCCTTGTGCATGAAGGACATTCCCAATATTGCTAAGAACGGTAGCAATGCCGGTATAACCAAGTGGATAGTTTTTCTCTCGAATAGTTAATGATTGTTGGTAAAAATCAATAGCTTCATCATATTTTTCTTGACTGTATAGGACATTTCCAATAGAGTTCAGACTATTCGTAACGTCGACACTAGGCAATTCGTTATATTTTTCTCGAATAGCCAATGCTTTTTGATGAACTTGAAGAGCTTCATTGTACTTCTTTAGTTTATATAGCGTGTTACCAATAGAATTGAAAGTATGAGAAATTTCGATGTGACAATCAGAATAGAAATTCTCTTGCATTGAAAGTGCCCGTCGATAATAGTCAATAGCTGCATCATACTTGCCTTCATCGTACACAACATGACCAATACGCTTGATGGTATTAGCTATGATGATACTGTCTACTGGATAGTATTTCTCTTGTATTTCTAATGCTTTTTGATGATATACAATCGCTTCATCGAATTTTTGTTGGTGACGAAATGTTGTCCCAATATTATTGAATGTTGGCGCAATGTCTACATGCCCATTCGGATAACACTTTTCTTGTAGTTCAAGTGCACGTTGATAAAACTTCAAGCCTTCATCGTATTTTTTCTGTTCAATGAGAACGTTACCAATGTAATTGAGACTCTTGGCAATCTCACTACGGCAGGATTCACGATATTTTTCCTGTATTTTCAGTGCTTGCTGATGATAATCAAGAGCTGCATCATACTTTTCTTGTTTGCATAATATAATCCCGATGTTGTTCATATAAAAAGCAATCGAAGAATGATCAGAGGGAGTGTGTTTTTCGATAGTTACGAGTGCTCTTTGATGAAGATCAATAGCTTCATTGTATTTCCCTTGCTCATATAAGATGTTACCAATATTGTTCAGACTCGAAGCTATTGAGGCATGACCCAAAGAATAATAGTTCTCTTGAATTTTGAGTGCACGTTGATGAAACATTAAGGCTTCATCGTACTTTTCCTGTTTTTTGAAAACGTTACCAATATAATTGAGACTGTTGGCAATCTCACTACGACATGATTCACGATATTTTCCCTGTATTTCCAGCGCCCGCTGATGATAACCAAGAGCTTCATCATACTTTTCTTGTTTGCATAATATAATCCCGATGTTGTTCATATAAAAAGCAATCGAAGAATGATCAGATGGAGTGTGTTTTTCGATAGTTACGAGTGCTCTTTGATGAAAATCAACAGCTTCATTATATTTTCCTTGTTCATATAAGATGTTACCAATATTGTTCAGACTCGAAGCTATTGAGGCATGACCCGAAGGATAATAGCTCTGTTGCAACGTTAATGCTCGTTGACAATACTGTAGAGCTTCATCATATTTCAATTGACGAAGTAGTACATCACAGATGCAATTGAAAATCTCACTGATGCTTGCATCATAAGATGGATAATATTTCTCTTGTAGTGCTAGTGCTTGTTGATGGAAATCAAGAGCTTTATCATACTCTCCTAGTTCCTTTTGTACATAGCCAATGTTATTTAAAATACAAATAATGTCATCATGACCAGGCATATAATATTTTTGCAAAATTTCTAGCGCTTGTGTATAAAATACCAGAGCTTCAGGGTATTTTGCTTGTCGATAGTAAACATTTCCTATTCTATTGAGGCTAAAGGCAATCTCGACATGACCGGATGGATAATACTTTTGCAGCATTGTCATAGCTTGTTCATAAATCTTTAGAGCTTCATAATGCTTGCCTTCAAGGTAGAGAATCCGACCGATATTGTCAAGATTCCAAGCAATATACACATGATCATTTGGATAATATCTTGTATAGATTGACATTGCTTGCTTACAGAGGTCGAGGGCTGCATCATAGTTGTTTTGATATATAAGAAAGTGCCCTACGTATAGAAAACTATGAGCAATATCTATATGAGAACATTGATAATATTCTTTGAGCATTGTTATCGACTGTTGATAAAAGATAAGTGCTTCGTCATATCTTTCTTGACGCCAGAGAATCTTCCCCAAGCCACGAAGGCTAGTAGCAGCGAGAACATTACTACTCCGGTTAATCTTGATTGCTTTTAGCCAGTCAGTTTCCTGTATGTTTCGACATATTTCTATCAAATGTCTTTCGGTCGATGTTTTGCCGACGAGTTCTATTTTGTTTGTCGTATATTTCGATGAAAATCGATAGGAAATTCGTCGGAACTTCGTAATACAGTACCATCGAGAAATTCGTCGAAATCGAGTAACACAGTACCATCGAGAACATTGTTTAAAGGTTCTGCCTAAATTCGATGAAAATGGTGAGAAAGACGTGCAAATAGGACTCAGTAGACAATTAAGTTGGTAATTCGGTGAAGAGAACAAATTGTCCGTGGCAGATGAATAATTTAGCTCGAGTATTGTCAATACTTTTCTATAATAATTTTGAGCTTCTTCGTACTTTCCTTCTAGATAGAGAATTTCACCAATATCGAATAGTATATCAGCTAACTCCTTGATCCGTATTGGTTTGGCATTCATGATTCGATCATAAGCTCGATCATAACATTTTCTTGCTTCATTCCATTCTCCTTTCCATTGAAGAACTTCACCAAGACTACGTTCAATCTTTGCAAGATCTTCGTTGTTGTTATTCCAATTGTTCAATAAAATTTCAAAGAAATGTTGTGATTGATTCCATTGACCTATGTCACACATCAAACGTCCAAAGAGAATTTTGATACTGAGATCTTCTATTTGACGACGTGAGTCGTTGATATATTTTTCTTTGATAATTTGACCATCATTCGATGCACTCATTTCGACAAAGTAAATTTCGTCTTCCATTCTCACATTTTTCAATCGATAAGTGACAGTGGAATTGAAGAGAATTTCTTGTTGTTCTTCACATGAATTAGTAACAACAACACCGTTGTTTAGATGTTGTAAATCGCATTGAATTTTTAGAAGAACAGAACTGAGACCAGTTTGTTTCGAAGGTTTCATCGCTTGATTCAATGCAGTTGAACGAAAAGTATTCGCTGTGAAAAATCCAGAGATTGAAACTAATTTACCTTCGTTCTCTTTGAATTTCTCGATTTGATCCTTTGCCATTTTCATGCCTCGATAGACAATTAATATTTTTCGATCAAAATGAACCATCTTTTGATGTTCTTGAACGAGACTTTCTATCAGATCTTTCATAAAATACCGCAATGTGTAGAGCTGATCGAAATCTTTGGTTCGCAATGCTTTGTTAATGATTTTGTAGAGAAAAGATTTTCTCAAATACCATTGAAGAGCTTCATCTGATCGATATTCATTTTTAAATTTCTCGATTTCTTCTATTTTTTTGGTATTGTCTCGATAGTATGAACGAAATGCATCGATCATTTCTTGTTTAGCTTCTTCATTGTATGGTAACTGAAAGAGAACTTCATGATAAAGCTGAAACCAAAGAAGATCAGCAGTTTGTTTTGATAGATCTTTTGTCAAATGTTCATCTTGATCGAAGAAGCTAAATGTTTTTAAGTGTCGATCAAGAAAATCAACTTGTTCCTGCATTGATAAACATAATAGATCGAGTTCATCATAGATCCCAATCAGTTTTGAATGTTCAAAAATAAAATTTTGATGATCAACTCGCTTCCAGTTGAAGATAAAGATGCTATCAATTTGAGGTAGAGTCACAATATGAGGTAATATTTGTAATGCATCAGAAATAGAAGAGATGAAAAAGATTTTTTCATTCTGAATTAATTGTATGAAATTGATGCAAGTTTCAAGTTCAGTGTGATATACGACATAATCATTGATTTGACGTAGTCTTTGCTTTGTTTGTTCTGTATGATAATTAGATTCCATCTTTGAATAGAACCAAATGAGAGTAATGTCTTCTTTGTTGTTTGTTCTATTCACCATTTCCAATGAATTTTCGAGAATAATAGCTTGTGTAGCCATTAATGATAAAAGCAATAAAGTTTCTATAGAAAACAATCGAATATAAACCTTGCAATAATGAAAAAAAGCTGGAAATTTTCAAGAAACAAGAAATATGTGAATGTTTAAGCCACTTATGATCCCATTCTTATCGAAATGTTTAATTCAACTCTCAGTGACTTTTGACTCGGTATATTCTCTTATATTACAAAATACGTAGTTCTGTTCAGAGAAAAAATGACAGTCGAATAGGACGTTGTTAAAGAAATAATCGATGGAACCCGTTGTTCCGGACGCTTGACGAAAGACTTGTATGATGCTTCATTTTGCGATATATAATCGGAGAAAAAGAAAACACTTTCTTGTTGTTCCGATAAATGTCTTATTATCATGATATAAAGTTAGCTATTAGAAAAGTGTGTAAATAGTATACCTGAGAATGCGATTATAGTATTGAGTCAACCTTCTAGACAAGTAATTTTATAATGACACCATATTCAACAAAACTAATAGGAAAGATTTTTGTTCAAGAGTATATATTTGATCAACAACAACTAAGAAGAACAAGTATCGATGTATGATAAGCAGAGACTCAAGCATATTTCAAAATAAGTTTAAGAATTTCTTTACGACTTTAATTTTTTTAGTAAGAATATTGGAGATTTCGAAGTTGCAATGTACAGGACTCGCATCGCAAAAAAATAAATATCGATTCTTACTTATGTAAGAATGACTAAGCAAAAGAAAAACAAGTAATTACTGTCCTTTTTTCATGTAACTCTACTTACCACTTAAAATATGATTAGTAGAATGAGTGAGTATATTTATATATGCTTCCTGATCGACTATGTGACGTATGTATCCTTGTAAAGAAGTAACGGGGGTTTTTTCCAACTTGCAATATGCTTACGTATACAAAGCAAGTATCTTTTCTCTCACAATGTGATGAGACTACGTAATAAGAATGCGTCACACTATTGATCCTGTTCTGTAAGTGCATAATATTACTCCTCTTTCGCCTTCTCTTATTCATTTTCTACCTTTATGTACAGCATAGTTTTCTTCTAACGTATTGCGATGTATATTTGTGAGCAACAAATTTCTTTCGAAAGTTTTTCAAAAAAATAACTTTACGTATTTCAAATTTGAGTAACGAATTAGACAGACACAAATAGTAGAATTACACATAGTTTGTTTGAAAAAATGCTATTTATGAATCAGTTTAATTTTGTTTTGAAAATTTGGTTAATTACTTCATATTCAGTCTGAGTATATGTTTAGTATAAAACAAAAAAAAAAATTTAACATAAGTTACTTTAGATTTCAATTAATTTTGCATACAGCACTAGTTAATTGTTGTACAACAATAAAATGATGATGAACATTCAACACTATCTTAAGTTTGGTAAAAAAAAGAAAAATAGTAAATTTAATTACATTTTCTCGCTTTGTTTCTATTTATGAACGAAGTTCTCCAACTAATGAATTACTTTAGAGTTGAGGTTATGTGCATTATGTGGAATTCAATAAGCGATGTATATCATGGACAGAATTCATGCACTTAGCCGATTGTAGAGGTTACAACAGCATATGAGAACTGGACGGTTGCTTCCGGGTGTGGATGTGGGGCATGAATGTGCTTGTCTTGATCTTCTCTTCATTCAGACCGATAACTTTTCCTATATTCATGTAAGCAACTGTCGTGCAAACTACTATCTTAGATTCGCCCATAGATTGTCGGTTTTTGGATCATTTATTTCACTTTGTGTAAAAGCTAAGTGTGAAGTAGGTACTCAAGACTTAATATTAAACTTTCAAATTCGGTGCATACCTACTAACTATATTATACTTAAAGGACGCAGTAGATCAATATTTTTAAAATACATATCGTGACATAAAGATTCGTCTGATAATTTTCTAAACAATATGATTCATGTTGAGTTTTTTCTAGTACTTATGTTTTAGGATAAAAGTTCAAGAGATCTTTGAACGAGATCTATTTAAATATAGCTCTAAAAGATAATCAATTGAAGGTTTTAGATATGTGTCGAGGTATTCAAATTTAGAATCACTATACCATCATGTATTCGAAAATTATCCTTTTACATTGTTTAGTCTCTTTCATCTATTATAAACGTTCGATGGAATCGATGAGATTTTATTGATACTCTCCATTGGGGTTCATACAAATAAATTTTTCTCCTCTAATTATGATCCTTGTTCTGAACTTTTTGTCTATCGTAGGATCTGACGAAAGCAATAGTATGTCAAGAACATTCTGCGCAAGACACTCATTAAAAATATGTAATTAATGAAAAAAGTTGTTTCTGGACGAAACATTTTAGAAAAGAACTTTATCGAATAAAGAATGCTTTTCCACAAAAAACAAGAAAAAAATATTAAAACAAACACCCTATAGTATAATCCGATTAGATTCTGTCAGAATACTCTATATGTTCTTCTAAAATAACTACCAACTTTATAGCTTCGAATGATACTAAGCATCTTTTTCTTGGATTTTTATTTTTTACAGACAAATGTTGGGATAAGAGAATCATCGATAGGTATCTACTCTTTCTTTTGAGCATATTGACAATCAAAAAAAAAAAATGCATGATTTTTATGAGTTTTCTATACTTTGATATAGTGTCATTGAAGTGAAATAATCATTGATTGTAGCATATGTAGAATTTGAATACATGCATAAACACTCTTATTGCATCGTATTCTCTCGATTTAGATATCTCAATATTATAATGGTATATCTCCGTGACCATAAAGGGAACAATAAGATCCAATGTGGAGGAATTTAAAGTGAGCTTGAGAGCCTACATAACCTTCATGCACGAAGATAGTATATGAGCTTTACCTTTTTATAACTCATCTTATTTATTTGTACTAAATGCAAAGATATACAGTTGTCATCAAGTATATATAGACCACAACATTCCTTAAAATATAGCCTGTACTACTAGACAGTAGTGCATTGTGTGATCGTCAGAATCACGATCATAGTCATAGTAACATTAAAAATCTCACACATTTTCTAGGAAATTTTCTGGTTCAGATATAAATTAGAAAAAAAATTGACCGTTCATGTCCTACTTGTAACAAGAATAACAAACAATGTTACAAAGATAGAACAATCGAACATCAAACATATTTAAACATGAATCGTTTGTTCCCATACTTTGACTACAAATAAATCATGATTGACCCTTGATTGCAAGCAGTTTTTTCTTCAGATGAGGATATTTCAGCAATAGTAATAAGTTTCATAGTTTCTGACCTGTAATTCCATTAGATTCTCAGTTGTAATCAAATTTCTCTCTAAAGATATCTGGATTATAGTCATTAGTTACTGCGAGAATCTATGCGAAGACCGTTGTGGATAATGGAAATACCGCTATGACTCAGGATCAAAGCAGAGTGGAATCTTCTACTTTTAACACAGTAAAGATGTGGAGAGGTTTATTTGTCTATAAAATAATGACAAACCATAAAAGGGTCAAAAAAAGTATATTTTACTTTCTATTTCAAGTGAGATTTCTACATTATTATTTTATTGATCATATCTTATGATTATTGATAAATATTGAATTGATATCTAGCGTCATCTCTTCATTTTTGTTTCTGCTTTTATGATTAAATATAGTTTAGTCCAATGATGATTTTTCATATATGACTTATATATCGAAGTCTATATCATTCATTTACTTAAAGATAAATTGAAAAATACAAAACTCATTGTATGATAAAAATGCTTCGAATATACTCAAGTAAGATTTTCTTTTTTATCTTTCCCTCTTCTCTATTAAAAATTTGTTTTTTTTTTTTCTTCTGTAGATCATTCAATGTTTCGATTAATCTATCGATCAATGTCATCATTACCTACATATGAAACATTGAAATTAAGTCAACCGAAACCACATGTAACTCTTGTTGAATTAAATCGACCAACAAAACTAAATGCTATGAATAAACAATTATTCGAGTAGGAAATAAAATTTTCTTTTATATATTTCTTAATAATATAAGATTATTTATTTGAAGTGATTTAAAAACATGTTTTGAACAATTAAGTATTGATAAGACATGTCGAGCTATTGTATTGACTGGTGCTGGTAAAGCATTTAGTTCTGGTAATTTTTTTTTTAATTTCATTAATTCAAAATTATTAATTTTGAGAATTTTGAAGGTATTGATATTAAATATTTAACAGT